TTTTGAACTTACTACTTAGCCCAGGCTGGCCTCGAATTCTCTGCAATCCTCCTGCCTCAGCCTCCCAAATGCTGGGATTATAGGTGTGTGCCACCACACCCAGCAAGAAGCCCATTTAGAACTGCCTCCTTTATTTTTCCTGTGCTAGAGATTGAACTGAAAGCCTCAAGTATGCTAGGCAAGTGCTATACCACTGAGCTACAGCCTTGTAAGTCCAGTCTAAAGATGAAATGAAGCAGGATCTGGATAGATATTTCTTGAAGAAGATGCACCTATGGCCAATAAACACATGTGAAGATGTGAAGATGTTCAACACCATTAACCACTAGGGAATGCAAATCCAAACCACAATGAAATACCACACTCCCTACAGCTGTCATAAAATGAAAACCAAACTATCCAACCAAAACACAAAAATGGGAAATAGCAAGTATTGGTGAGGGGGAAGGTTGTAGGGGAAATTAGAGCCTCATGCATGGTTCTTGGAATGTAAAATGGTGCAGTCAGTTGTGGAAAGCAGTTTGACAATGTTTCTTTTTTCTTCTTTTTGTACCTGGGATTGAACTCACAACTTTGTACTTGCCAGGCAGGTGATTATGCCCTGAGCTAAATCCCTGGTCCTTTGTTTTGTTTTGTTTTGTTTTGTTTTGTTTGAGACAGTGTTTAATTATGCAGTTCGTGATGGCCTTGAACTCATGATGATCCTCCTATCTCAGCCTCCTAAGTACTAGGATGGCAGTTTCTCAAATGATTAAACATAGTTTCCATAAGATCTAGCTATTCCACTTTAGATGTTATCTAAGATGAATTTTATATCGGTATCATTTATACCAAAAAATTAAAATTTAAATGTCCATCAGCTAACAAATGGATGAACCAAATGTTGTACTTTGATGCAATGGAATAATATTCAGCCATAAAAAGGAATAAAGTATTATAATATGGAAATAAGTACTGACACATACAAGATAAACCTTGAAAACGCTATGCTAACTAAAATAAACCATATAAAAAGTCCATACATTATGTGATACTTTTTTTTGATACCAGGGATTGAACTCACCCCGTGCTTGCCAGGCAACATTATGTGATTTTACTCATAAAAAATGTCCAGAATGAGGAAATATGTTGAGACAGAAAATAGACTGGTTGTCTCTGAGCTGTGGGTACGATGCTATAAAGTACACCATTTCTTTTTTTTTTGTTTTTTTGAGATCATCTCACTACACAGTCCAGGTTGGTCTTGATCTTGCTATGTAGTCTTTGTGGGTCTCAAACTTGTGATTCTCTTGCCTCTCCCTTCTGAGTGAGATGTGCATTACCATGACTGGCCCAGGGTTTCTTGAGATGATATAGGTCTTCCAACATTGTATAATGACCACACACATCTTTAATAATAACTTTAAAAATAATAAAGGCTATTTTTATTTACTTAAAGAATTAAAAGTGATTATGCCAGGCATTGTGGCATGAGCCTGTAATCCCAGCTATGTGGGAGGCTGAGGCAGGAGGATTACAAGTCGAGTCCATCCTGAACAACCCCTTATAAACACCACTATTATCAACAAGGCTTAACGCCCAGAGGTGAAGAGGGTATTGCGAAGTGTATACACAACACGCACACGTACAAGGCTGATGTATGTGTGATGATAAACTGGTAAAACAAAAATTTTCAGGAACTGTATGATTTCATATCAACATGCTCATCCTTAAAATGCTCATCCTTACAAATTCCACTTTTGAGAGAGAATCCTAAAGAAACATTCCTATAGAGACAAATTCACAAAGATTTTTTGTTTTTGGTGGAATTGGAGATTGAACCTAGGGCCTTCACAATAAACTACTTTTTTTTTTTTACACCGGGGATTGAACTCATGACCTCACATTTGCCAGACAGGTGCTTATACCATTAAGCTAAGTCCCCAGCCCTTAAACTACATTCTCAGGGGATTTTTGTTGTTGTTTTTTGAGACAGGGTCTTGCTAAATTGCCTAGGCTGGGCAACTTGTAATCCTCCTGTATCAGCAACCCGGAGTGCTGTGTGTCACAGGCACCTTCCATTACCCCCGAGCATAAGGTTTATTAATGATAATAACAAGAGGAAACAAGTTAAGTGGCCAACAGTTAATATGAGTAAAAATCCACTGTGAGTTGGGGATAGCTCTGTGGCAAAGTGCCTACCTGGCAAGTGCAAGTTCATGAGATAGATCCCTAGTGCCAAAAAAAAAAAAAAAAGTCCATTGTGATAGAGCATTATACACCATCAAAATGGAACTTTTTTTAAAATCCAAAACAAAAATTCTTGCCCTGAGAGGACAACTCATAAGGGCAAAGCAGAAAGAAAAAGGTCCATATAAATACAATTTTAAAGAAAAGAACATGATACATTGGTTCTCAAGTGTGGTTCAGAGGGTGTGTGTGTGTGTGTGTGTGTGTGTGTGTGTGTGTGTGTGTGTTTCATAATGCCTTTCCTAGCACTGGCTGCAATAATTTTTCATTCTTTCCTGAGTGAAACAGCATCACTAGGGAATGTGATAGGAATGTATATTCCAGATCCCTACCTCACAGCTAGGCAATTAGCACTCTGGGACCCAGCAGGCAGACTCCTTGGAATAACAGTAGGTACATGTCAGGGGCAGAACCAAAGCCCTGCATCATCAAAGCTGCAAATCTATTGGGTATTGACCATGCTTTCCCAGGAGCTTGTGTAATAGTCACAAGTATCTTAGAAGTGTTGGTATTATGGTTATCTTCACATGACAGACCAGGAAACTGAGGTGCAAACAGAGGAAGTGACTTACCCAAGATCGCAGAAGTGACAAACAGCAGAGCTGGGACCTCAAGTCAAGTCCCTTTGTCTCCCAAGCTCATGTTGTAACAAATGTGTCGCTGCTGCCCTAAGCAGTGTCCGTAAACACCATTGGTGGCGTTGAGCAGTCTCAGCATTCTCTTATTTTTTGAGACAAGATCTATGTTTTTCAAGCAGCCTCAAACTTCTGGACTCAACTAATCTTTCTGCCTCAGCTTCCTGGGTAGCTGGCATTACAGGTACACAGCACTGGGCCAGCTGGCATATTTTAAGTAGCAATAGTTGTGTATATACAGAAAGTATAGTAGAAAAATATATAACTACTATTTCAAACTCATCAATTTAATAGTAACAGTTTCCCTTTAAATAGTTGAATTTATAGTTAATGAAAAATATGAAGTAAAATAAATGTTATGAACAGATACAGGAAATATGGCACAAATGCAACAGTGATACACACAAGACACTGCTGAGCTGGCCTTTGGTACTAAGTTACGTAACAAGGGTAACAGGGTCGGCAAGTGGATAGAGTATTATGTACTGGAAAGATTTCTTTGGGTTGATAAGAACTGTCCAAAATTGGCTCCTAATGATGCCTATGACTCTTTAAATCAGAGTGGTACACATCAACGTGACATTTAAATTTTATGGTGTGTTCATTGTACTTCCAGCCAGCACATGCCTGCAATCCCAGCACTCAGGTTGAGGCAGAAAGATTACTGTGAGTTTAAGGCTAGCCGAAGTACAAAGTGAGCTCAAAGGCCAGCCTCCGCTACAAAGTGAGACCTTGTTTCAAAAGACAAAATGAAAGGTCAGGCCTGTTGGCACTTGTCTATAATCCCAGCACCAAGGAGGCTTGAGGCAGGAGGACTGCCCAAAGTTTGCGGTCAGTCTGGACTACATAGTAGTTGTTTTCTGTCTCTTAAAGACACTCTCACAGTTCAGGCTGAACTTGAGTTCACTTTGCAGCCCAGGCTAGTCTCAGATTTGCACTGAGCCTCTTGCCTGAGCCTCATGAGTGTTGGGAATTACAAGAATGCACCACCATGCCTAGTTTGGACTACATAGTTAAACCCTGTCTCAAAAAATGAAATGAGATGAAATTAAATAAAATAATAGCACCTGCCTAGCAAGCACAAGGTTGTTTGATTCCTGGCATCAAAAAACAAATAAAGTAAAATATACCTCCAAAATGCATGTGTAATATAAAACACTGAATATTCAATGTTAGGAAACAAAATCTTTTTTTTCAACAGCTTTGTTATATGAAGGAAATAAAATCTTTAACTGCAACAAAAAATATGTACCAATGTGTACACTTTTCATCTATAAACTGTACTTTAAGGAGCGTGCAGCTCAAGGGCACTATGTGCATGCTCAAGTGTTCAAAAGAAGTATCCCGAGGCTGCCTCTTCAAAAAGGCATCACAATGGTGCACAAGCAGGAGTTCAAGGCCAGCCTGCCTAATATAGTCACACACACACACACACACACACACACACACACACGAAGGAAGAGAAGGAAAACAGCTTTCAAAACAAGCTGAGCTGATGAATGGAGAGGCTTGGATAAAGGGTTGGAGACATGATAATATTAGCAAAATATTCATTGTAGAAGCCCGAGATGTACCCACAGCAGTATTCGGGGTAGGATTGTGTCACCTTTGCTATACGTTGGGGGAAAAATACCTTTAGCATCCCATATAGTAAATGAAGGTATGAATATATAAACACAGCCTCAAAGATAGCTAAATATGATCGTTGGGTATGGGGCCACACAGCTATAATCCTGGCACTCAGTAGGCTGAAGCAGGAGGATCACAGGCCAGCCTGGGATACATAGTGAGTTTAAGGCCAGACTGAACTACACAGTGAGTTCCTCTCAAAAAAACAAAATCCCCAAAACTAAATAAAACCTGGTTTTTCTTTCATTCAGTACCAGGGACTGAATCCAGGACTTTTACACTAAGCTATATCCCAGTCTTTTATTTTGAGACAGGATGTTGCTAAATTACTAAATTACCTAGCCGGGTTTGACCTTGCCATCTTCCTGCCTCAGTCTCCTAGAACACTGGAATTACAAGTGTACATCACCATGTCAGGGCTGGAAATGATATAGATGTATCCTAGAATAGGCTTGTACAAGTTTTGTAATAGAAGAAATTTTTTTGAGACAGAAATTTTACAAGGAGTCAAGTGATAAAAAATATTTATTGAGAGAGCAAAATGCAAGAGGAAACTCCCCAAGACCAGCTTGGAAGTGAGAGAAACACAGGGTGCCCCATGTTCAAGGGAATGAGGCCCCTGTACTTCCCACCCTGCCTGGCAGGGAAGGCCCAGAGCAGAGTGCAAGGGTGGGCTCTGGGGCGGCCTGGGAGTCTGACCTGCTCTTGCCTGAAGGTCAGTGTGTTCTGCACCCCGAATAGCTGTGTCGATGTCAGGGGAGGTGACACAGGAAGTCATGCAGAGGTAAGGCCACGACCCCCGACAGGGAGATCCCCAGAGTGTCAGAGATACAAGTGGCTGCCATAGCAAATTCCCGGTGCTCATCGCTGGTCTAGGGATCAGAGGGCAGAGGTGAGACTTCGGTGCTGGAGGTCACAGACCAGAGCCTGCCACCCCCAGGGCCTACCCACAAGCTTTTCCAGCTGGTGCTGACCTCAAGTGCAATGTTGTGGAAGGTGTTCACGTAGGCTGCACCCCCCAGGAGCCCCTCATACAGAATGATCAGGAAGATGAAGTATATACTCGGCAGGAAGCCCAGTAACACATCCACCAGCAGGAAGGCCAGATTGAAACACTGTGGACAGTCAAAGGGCAGAGCTGAGGCCAGGGCCAAACCAGGTGGGGAGGGAGGCTGGGCATCTCATTCAGCAACCCCAAGATCTTGGGACACTGGTGAAGGAGTGCAGAGAGGTCTAGATAAGACCCCAACACCCCAGGCCCATCTCACCCCTGGCACCCTGCTCTGCACAGCCTGCCCCTGTGCCTGGAATGCTGCACCACCTGCTTTCCCTTGGCCTCTCAGCCTCAATCAGGGGCACTCCTACTCTGTCACCTCATTTCTTTCTTTCAAGGGTTCCTTGAATAGAGTTCTTCTCCCCTTGTTTTACTGGAATGAGACCACTGACCCGGGGGACATTTGCCAACATCTGGAGGTGTCATTACTGCATGTGATGGACAGAGGTCAGGGATGCTGCTAAGCATCCTCACACACAGGACAGCCCAACCGATAATCTGGCCTACATGGCAAGAGTAGCAAAGGTGAGCCCGGGCGTGGTGCTGCATGCCTTTAATCCCAGTGCTCACTCAGGAGGCTGAGGCAGAAGAACTGCTGCAAATCTGAGGCCAGCCTGGGCTATAAAGTCAGTTTACAGCCAGCCTGAACTAGATAGTAAAACCTTGAAAGAGACACACACACACACACAAAAGAGTAGCAAGGCTGAGAAACTCTGTTTTACATGCTCTTTTTTTTGTCTTTTCAAGACAGGGTCTCATTATGCAATTAAGGCTGGCCTTGAGCTCACTTTGTAGCCCGGGCTGGTTTCAAACTCACAATGATCCTCCTGCCTCAGCCTCCCAAGTGCTGGGATTACAGGTATGAGCCACCACGCCCTGCTCTTCTCACTACTTTTAGGAAGCTTCCTTGATGCCCAGCCAAGATATAGGTCCTCCCTCTCTGCTGAGAGCACTGTGTGGCTTCTACATTCTATGGGCCACACTCTATCTGGTGGATCATACAGTTCGTGTTCATAAGAATCCCCTGCAGATCTTGTTAAATGTGTACTACAGAGACCTGCCCCTCAGATGTCCTAATGCAAGAAGCCTGGGCTCAGAGATCTGCATGGAAAAGAATATGACCTAGTAATACTACCATGAGGGCCAGACCTCACAATCACTGTGGCTTTAGGTCAAGTACTTCCTGTAATAGCAATAAATGTGATAGCTTCAATTCTAGGAGGCAGCCTCAGTTGAACAGGCACCTGAAACCATAAGCTCCATGTTTCAGCATCATCTAAAAGAACTGGAAATTGCTGACAGCATACTTTGGGACTTTGTGGGGATAAGCCCTGGGCTGGCAGCAATGATCAGATAAATAAAGAAGGTTAAAGAATACAAACTGGTATGGTATCATAATGTAATCTAAAATGAGTATAGTGGCACACACCTATAATCCCAGCACTCAGGAGGCTGAGGCAAGAGGATTTCTGTGAATTTGAGGCCACCCTGGATTATGCAGTGAGCTAAAGACCAGCCTAAAATATATAGTGAGACCTTGTCTCAAAAAAAAAAAAGAAGCGTAATCTAGCTGGATACAATGGCACATGCCTGCAATCTCAGCTACTCTGAGGATGAAGTGGGAGGATCAGGAGTCAAGACCAGCCTGAACTACTCAGTGATACTATGCTCTCAAGATGAAATAAAATTTTAAAAAAGGCTAGGAATATAGCTCAGCACTCCCTGAGTCTGGTCTCCATTGCATGTACATACACACACGTAATTTCTTACTGCCTCTTACTTCATTACAGAATCAAGGAGTTGAGCTCCCAGCTAGGTGTGGAAGTTCACAGCTGTAATCCCACCACTCTGAGATGGCAGGAGGCTCAGAGTTGGAGCCCTGCATAGGTAACTCAGTGAGACCCTGTTTCAAAATGGGTGGAAGATTTTCAGACAAGGAATGCTCAGCCTGTAGTTGAAGGTTTATTTCAACAGTTAACTTTGGAGACTGTAGACTTGTAACACTGAAATAATGACTGCAGTGCTGGTCAAGTGAACTCCTTTGTTGCTTTGGAGAATAGTATCTGTGTGCTACAAACTATAGAGCTCTACCACCCCATGTCTGCTTCAAAATGAGGTAACTGAGGCTCAGAGAGGTTCTGAGACCTCTCACACAGCTACTAAACAGATTTGCAGGTGGGGCTGTGTAGCTCCTGAAATTACACGTTACACATGGAGACCTGCTGGTTTTCAGTCCTCCTTCATTCCCCATGCTTAGAAATGCATATAAAATACACACTCCCTGTGGCAGGGAGGAAGTAGTGGGATCTGAGGTGGAGTGGAGCGTCGGGCAAGGCAAAATACCTGCAACAGGGCCAGGACCCACGTGAAGCGGATGTGACAGCAGCGGAGGGAAGAGCGAGAGACAAACACGCCAGCCTGGTACAGCATCTGGTACCTGAGGTGGGGAAGGGGAAGCAGGAGGAAGCTGCTCTGGGTGTCTGTCTGCTGGGCAGGACAGTTGTATGAACCCCAGGCTGGGCCACTACCCATCTGCCCCTAGCCCTCACTCCTCTCACCAGCGGTACTGCTGAGCATGACTCAGGGATGTGTTCCGGAAAAACAAGAGCTCAAACTGCAACAGACCAGACAAGAAAGACAGATGTGAGCCAGTTGGCTCACTACTTCCATGCCCTTCCCAGCACCCCTAACTCACAAGTCCCTGGTTGATGAAGTACTCGGCGAAGTAGACCAGCACCAAGGGGATGATGTGGCACAGCAGGCCCTGGAAGGGTCAGAAGATATAAGCAGAAGGCTGGGGCCAGCCACCAACCACAGGTACACACCACAGCCGCTGTCCACACCTTGAACACTGTCCACCTTTCCTGCAGGGAGAGGTTCCAGCTGGTGCCTGCAGGGAGCAAGGAGAGGGTGCTGATGAAATGGACATACTGAACACTGATCCTGTGTGCCATGGCCGAGGAGCACCTCGCTGACACAACACTGAGCATAGTCAAATGCGGCTGGGCTGCACACTTAAAAGGGATTAAACTGGAAAACTTCACGTTATGCAGACTGGTTATGATTTTTTTTTAAAAGAGCTGAGGATGTAGTTTAGTGATAGAGTAGTTTGTCTAGCATGCGTGAGGCTCTAGGGTCACTCCACCCCCTGGCAAAAATAAATAAAAGTATAGGTAAACAGACAAGACTTCTCCAAACCTCTTATGCAGCTCAACAGATGGCCATCTGCCCCCACCACCCTAGCTGTGCTTCTTCTGTTTCTAGAGCATCCAAGCTGATTTCTACCACATGGCCTTAGCATCTGGAACCTCTTCACCCAGAAGTTCTCAAGGCTGACTGCATGATAGCACACCTCTTTTCTGCAGGTACTTTTTTGAAGTAAAAGTCCCACCACCCCCCCTTTCCTTAACTGTCATTTGTCATATCACTCTTTTATAAACTTCCAGAGCTTATCCATGTGTGAGAAAGAATGGTCTGTTTCTGATTCACTGATCAGCTTATGAACCTTATCTTGGCACTGCCATCCCCCAGCGACTGGACTGTCTGGCACAGCTAAGTGTCATCAACCTCCTCTTGGCTAGACAAATACTTTGACTTTAACCAGGACCCCATCCTCAACTGTCCACCGCAGAGAGGAACAGAGTAGAATCCAGAGAAAGGAATCTCTCAGAGGCCCAAGTCTCCTACCTGGCTTTGGCTCTGGGGCCTCTGTGCCTATGAGGGGCTGCCGAGCTGCGGTCTCTGCCTCGTCCTCCTCACCAGGGTCCTGAGGCTTGGGAGATGTGAGCAACAAGAAATAGCTGGGGTGAGCAGAATGAAAACAGTCAGTGAGCCCGTGGGCTGCTCCCTCTTAGGGCACCCCTTATGTTTGTATGCTTCCAGCTCACAGCATCTAGGCAGCCTGCCCTGTCCTGGAGAGGCCCAATTGTGGGTAGACACTTCCTTCTTTGGAGTCAAAACTTGTCTCCTTGTTTGACTGCTGGCTCACACCTAGTGGGCCAGCTGTTTTCTTGCCATTATTAAAATCTCTGACTGCTCTAGTGATCACTTACTACACATGCACTTCACACTAGCCCAGGATGTCCCAAATCCTAGTCACACCTACTCTAGTATCAACCACACTCTTGTTCTATACACTTTACTTAATATTTTCTTTACACTGGCTTCCTTTTTCTACTCGGCACTGTCTTAGACTTAAACCCAATCTGTAAAGTCACAGGTTCAGTTGGCTAGTTAAAATTGTTTCCTTGGGCACAGAAAAATACACACAGAATCAATACACTGATGTCCATCCTTGCCTTATTTCAAATCAACTCAGGAACTCTTGAGTATTTCACACATGTCACTTCACAGGAAAGCAAAGGCAACCAATGTCAATTGAGATATGGGCAAACTGGGTCAGAGGGGCCTAAGCCACTACAGCCACAAGCAGTAGCTCTGGGATTGGAATCCAGGGCTGTCAGCGTGTAGAACCTATATCCCCCACAACAAGGCTGTAGGACTCTGCAGACAGGGATCATAATGGAGCTCTCCTTTCTCCCATGTCCCTTCTATCCCACCACGGCCACTTACCTGGCCAGCAGCAGACCAGGGATCCCCAGCATGGACAAGAGGGTGTGCTGAGGGGAGAGGCCAGCCTGGGTGAGGCCCAGATAGGACAGTGCTCCTAGCAGCCCTGCTCCCCCAGTGCCCGAGGACCACCAGGAGATCACAGCTCTGGGAAGAAGAAAGCAGGAGCACTCAGGAAGAGCAGGGCCAGCAGCAGGAGGCCATCTCTCCCATCCCCTGCCCTCCTCCTGCTCACCTGGGGTAGAAGGCAGTGAGTGAGAGGAAGGTGACCTCCCCGAGACCTGATGAGATGCTGGCCAGGACCACACCTGGGAGGAGGACAGGCACGGAGTGGCCTTTCTCCAATAGTCCCCATCTCCTCCAGGCTTTGACCATGGTCTTATCTGCATTGGCCCAGAGGGGCTGAAAGCAGATTCCCTGGGAAGGCTGCGTTCAGAACAGAGCGGGAGCCAACTCCCCTTCTATCTCTTGCACAAAAAGATACTTCCACCTACCTGTTATCCAACCAGGAGCAAGAATTCACCTCTGACATCCCTTCTACCCCGACTCTGCATCCAATACATTCATCTCCCCCACCGAGCCTTCCAAATTGCCCTGACTTCCCTTTCCTGTATGTGGCAGCCTTAACAGCTTTCTGAAGGCCACAGAAATAATGCCCCTCTTAAGGAAGCTGGGGAGACTGCCCACTGAAACACTACCAGAGTTCCTCTGGGCCAATGAGCCTGACATAGAACTTCATACCCACCACACAGGCTGGTTCCCACCGAGTGGGAAAAGGCAACCAGGATGAAGCTTCCAGCTGAGCAAATGCCACTGACGAGAACCCGAGGGCTGCAGGTGACAGAAGGGCACATGGGTTGGCCTCCATTCTCTGCTCCCCAGCTCGGGCCACTCCCTTCCCCTTCCACCTGTCCTGTGTCCTGGACACAGACCTGTAGGGCAGCAGATGAAGACCCAGAGGAGCCAGCAATTTGATGACAAGGGTGGGGAGGATGTCTGCCAGGAGCACCGCCTGGGACAGAAAGTAAAAAATGAGACACCAGACCATCCCAGGGACAACTCTCCCACCCGAGCGGCAGAGGGAAGGCAGGAGTTAGTCAATCAGACTGCAACAAATTCAGGTTCTGGCATCCTTTCACCATGTGTCAAAATACTTATACTCCCTGAACTTCAGTTTCCTCATCCAGAAAATGGGGATCTTACAGTGCTTCGTTCATAGGGGTAGTGTGGGTGACATGAGTTAACTGATGCCACTCATGGAAAGGGCCCAGTACTTTGGAATCTCAGTAGTTACAGCCATGACAGTCCAAACTGGGTGCTGAGGGGCTAGGGATGGAAATGAGGAGCTAGGGTCATGGGGGGCCCATTGAGGACTCACAGCTGTGGAGACAGAGTTGCAGTCAAATCGAGATGAGCTATTGTGAGGGGTAGCTGTTGGATCTGGGTCCACCTGATAGGAGAAAACAATGTGTTTCATCTAGGGAGGCAGGAAGGTGGACAAGATCCCAGTCACAGCTGTTTTAACATAAAGAATGCCTTAGAGTCAGCCCTGCCATAGGTCACGGTCCCGTCAATCCTCCACACCCTTTTCTTAGGGAATTGGCATTGAACCCAGGGCTTCACACACGCTAGGCAAGCACTATATCTCTGAGCTACATCCCCATCTCCCGAGTTCCTTTAAGTTTGTCAACCTGGCACCCAAAGATCTTTTAAAAATCTTCTTGCCCTAAGGGTCTGGGAGACTAAGAACTTTACCCCCTGCCCCACTGATTGGTCACCTCATCTCATGAGTTTTTTAAGGCATTCTCTGCCCCAGAGTGAGACCATCTCTTCCCACAGGAACTAACCTTGGAGGTGGTGGAGAGGGACTCACTTACATGGCTTTGATTTCCAGATGCCTTCTCATGTCTAAGAATGTCATGGGCAGCACTGAGCATCACCACATAAGAGAAGTTGTTGCAAAGGCCCAGGATCCTGGAAGGAGTGGACAAACCCTCACTTTGTCAGGCCTCCAGTCTACCCACAATCCTTGCAAATCTCTCCCTAACCTGTGTCCTTCAATACACTCCCTCCCCCCACCCCACCAGATTCCATCTTCTTTCAGTCTTGAAGTTACAAATAGAGGTTTTGTAATTATAGACTAGGGTTCACCTCCAAGTTCTGAGTCTTCCCCAGGGAGCTATCTCAGAACTTCCACGACAATTCTGTTCCTGGGTGTTTTTCACCTACTAATATACTGTGCTACAATAGAAATATCTCAGGGCTTAAAACCTGAGGTTCAAGTTCCAAACTTGCTTCTTATTTCAGTAGCCTTAGCCTAATTTTGTGAAAAAACAAAGGATGTAATTTCCCTCCTAACTACCCTGGAAAGTGCTGTAGGGATCAAAATAATACTAAAGCCTTTTATGATCCATAAAAGATCTTCTTCACTTACTTTCATGTCTTAGACCTGTGCTGTGTGGTAGGAAAGAAAGCAGGCCCAGTGTCAAAGATTTCACAAGTGTCTTTTTACAAGCCTGTGATATGGCTCTTCCTATTTTATTGTTGAGGTAACTGAGGCTCACAGAGGTTAAGTCACTCTTCCAAAGAGTCACATGGGAAAGCCACTTCCAACTGGTCTTCCACACTTAGGCTTATCCTAGATTTCCCAAGTCTCAGTGTTTCAGTGGTTTTCGGAAATACACAGAGGATTTTTTTTTCCTGGTACGGGGGACTAAATCCAGGGTCTTGACACTGAACTACATTTCCAACTCTTTTTTGTATTTTTATATTGAGACAAGGATCTTACTATCTCACCAAGTGGCCAAGGCCAGGTTCCCTTCTGCCTGAGTCTCCAAGAGTGTTGAGATTATAGGCATGCACATCTAATTTAGATGATCTTTTAAAAACTTTTAGTACTGATGAATGTACTTGAGTGTGCATTAAGAAAATACTGATTTTCCACCTAAAGTTCTGGTTTAGAGTTTCTTTTTAAAGTATGCGTATTACAAAATGTTAAAGCTGAGCTGGTTGGACAAAAACTTTAAATAAATAACCTTCCAGGCTGAATGTGGTTCTGAACAATAGGTGAAGGTGATTAAGTAAATAACTGAAATTTGGCAAACTCACAGCTTCAGGGCAAACTAATGGACTCAGTACATATTTGTGGATTCAGCTTCTTTTCGTAGCTCAGTTCTTGTCCTCTACCTTTCCACCTGTCACATGTAAACTTTTGCTGATATCTCAGGCCACTCACCAGAAGCCCACAGCGTTCTTCCACTCAGCACCCTGATGCTCCAACAGAGGGGCTCGGGACTCTGGGCCAGCCTCCTCCCCTGGGAGGAATAGAAGAGTCCGTGACCCCACCTGCTGTTAGATCGGGGTGTCTTCCCGGCCAAGCCAGCTTCTGAGTCCCTCTGGTGGGCCACAGGGCAAAAGTGATCACTCCCGCAGAGGGCGGGCCGAATACTCACCCTCAGAATCCGAAAGGTGCCGCCGCGAGCCTGCACAGCATCCCATGGCATCGAGCCCCCGTTGGATCCAAAGCCACAGAATGTTCAAAGTTGGCTCCAACGGGGCGGAGGCGAGTCTGCGCCAGGTGGGAAAGGTCAACGCCCCATTGCCAGTCCCAGCTTCAGCTGTCTGCCGCGCTCGCGCCCGGCGATCTGTCAGTGGAGCCCGGGACCCCGCCTCGAGCCCTCCGTCCCTACTACGCCGCACCGGTCGGACTCTGCCCCTGCCCTCTTTAAAGCAGAGGGCCCCGACCTAAAGCCTGTACCTTTAAGAATCGCTGAGCGTTCCGCGCCAGGTAGCAGCCGGTCTGCTGTCATGTGACGACACACGCAGGTTCCCCCATCACGTGATGAGAGATCCTCCCTACTTCCGGGTCTTCTCTCTGGCTTCGCTTGCGACCTTCTCAGTGTTGGTACATGATAAAAGGCAGACGTCAGGATAACCCGGAGGCCTCAAAGTAGAGCCTCGATTAGCGGCTCCCAAGATTATGATGGTCTCCTGCCAACACTAGTTACAGCGTACGCGGCTTCATCTCCTTTCCCACCACCCTCGCTTGCCAGAAACAAATATGGCCGCATGCCCACAGTCCGCCAGACCAAACTGATTCTAGCTGAGAACAAAGACAGTCGTCACGTCATTCCTAATCTTATCTGCAGCCCTACCAGATTGTTTTAAAAATCTAGAATAAAGACCACACCCAGCCAAGGAGTTTTCAACAATTATCTACTTGTAGTATCTAAGATGTTAAGTACCCCTTCACCAAGTTATCCTGGAGCCAAACCGAAACCAACCAAAACATAAAAAGTAACCCAACCTCTGGTTTTACGGATGAAAAAACTAAAGATCAAACAAAATCAGACCTAGAGACTAATTTAGCATTAAGAAATATAGCACTAGAGGCAGAAAGTCATACAGCAGGTTGCTGCATCAAGGGTGCTTAGATCAGATTACTCTGACGCTTAAAATGGTAATTCTGTGCTCTTTTAGGAAAACGAGGGTCACTTCACATAGTCCCAAATAAGGAGTCATTTCCTTACCTTTTGCAGGAGGTAGAGCAGCATCCTGACTCCACTTCATCACAACCTTTGCCTACTAAACTGCTACGGTGAGCAACGGCCTGCGCCCAACTCTGCCAGCCCACTACCAGCCTTTGAGAGCTGTTTGAAATATTTGGCTACAATGTGTTTCCCAGATCATTCAACCAATGAGAACTGGGAACCTCCTTAACTACCCTTGCAGGGCTCTAAAAATACAGCAGTGCTTCTAACCTGGCCTCTGCCCTCAAGGAACTTGCAGTGGGAGGTAGACACAAATAACCACAATGCAAAGTTTAATAAGTTCTGTTTTGCAATAATCAAAAATGGGGAATGAGCATTGGAACCACTAATCCAGCTCCCTCGTCCCTTTAGGGAAGCATTAATGATATGAAAATGAAAACCAGAGCTCCCACCAGCCCCCTCCCCAGTCCTCCTTGTCCCCAAGCAAAACAGGAACCAGAAACCCCAGCTTCCTCTCACAGAGTGGCTGTGGCCTGGGGGAGACGGAAATGGCTGTTGTGGCTGCCCCCCAGTCCCAGTGTGAAGATCTGAGTCACCTGGGCTTTCATTGCACACGTACCCTCCCCCATTTCTAATTCTGAAATTTCCCAGCCCCGCTTTGTTTTCTCAGCATCCCTCATTCCTCTGGAGCTCCAGATGTACACCTGAGGCCCTTAGGCCATGCATACCCATTGCTCTGCCTGGGGCGAAGGCTGCTCTGGACCTGGGAGAGGTGGGCAGGGCTTGGGTTAGCTATACGTCAGGGAGGGACAGGGGAAGAGGAAGTATCTTTAGGTCCTGCGGAACACTGGCTGTCTTGGTGGGTAGGGACGGTCATTAGCAGCTTTCTGGACACACAGACACAGACAGAATGGACTTCCTCCGGCTACACCTCCCTGGGCTGCATCAAGCCTTAAGGGGGGCACTGGTGAGAGGGGCAGAAATGCCAGAGACTTTCACCCCCATTCTTTGTGGCCTCATCTTTTCTGCTTTGAGCCTCTCCTCAGATTCCTTTCACAGGGTCAGGCAGCTTCCTAACCCAGGCTTTGCCTGGTCTCAATCACCCACCTCCACAAATGCACCCCCACACTCCCAGTTTAAGTCTTTTTTGAATTTCCTCTGGAGATCCTCTTCTCCCTCTCTCAGATAGATCCCAGAGTCTTCTTTATCTAGGGCTTTTCTGGCCCAGGGCCCAGGAAAAAAGCTGTATCTCCTCTGAATGGCTTTGCCCCCTCCCCTTTTTCTTCTAGGACTCCCTCAGCACCTTTGTCTCCTACCTCATGGGAGATGCGGTCCTCACGGTAGAGAGGGAGGTGCGGGAACTGGGGGAGGTGGCTGCAGGAAAACCAGAGAAGACTGTAGAGGAGGAAGCCCAGGAAGCCTTGCACAGCCTTAGAGATGGCCCAAGTGAGCGGGCTGGAGTGCTGAGAGGGACTGGAGAGGCTGGAGGAGGCCAGGAGGAGCGCTCAGCTGCAGAACAGGTCTGGGGGTGGGGAGAAGGTAGCTCCTGCAGGTCTCAAGCAGGTAGGCAGAACTCTGGAGCCTGGGGGGCCGGCACAGCAGCCAAGAGCCCAGAACCAAGTGTTCTCTTGAAGGCTGAGAAGACTTCTGAGGCAGAGTCTAGGACTCACAGAGATGAGAGCAGTCAAGCCAAGAAGAGACAGGAGTCTGAAGAGCAGGAAAGGAACAGAGGGGAGACACTGAGAATCTGGGAACAGGAGGAGGAAGAGGAGAAGGAAGAGGTTGGGGCAAGAGGGGCAGGGATGGCCAGAGGGGTGGAGTCAGAGCAGCCCTGGCATGGGGAGCTCCAGGGGAAGGCTGGTGTTGAGAGGGAGAAGGTGGCTAGGGACTGTGGCGTGGTCAGGGTGGCAGTTGCAGAAACTGAGGTATCTGGAGCCAAAAGGCCTTGGAGGAAAGAAGGGGAGGTGGTAGGAGTGAGGGCTGACCAAAGCACAAGGGCACAAGAGACCCAGGGTCCAGGCCCAGAGTCTGAAGACCAGGCAACCTGGCATAAAGAAGAAGCCAGGGCAACCTTAGGCAAGGAAGCAGATAGGACAGCCTCAGCTGGAGAAGAGGACAGCCCAACCATAGCCAGAGAGAAGGCCAGCACAGCCTCAGCCAGGGAGGAGGCTGACCTCCCAGGAATCAGGGAGACAGAAGATGGGCTAGTCACAGCAGACAGGATCTTAGAAGCTGCCAGTAGTATCCGGATCCTAGAGAAGGCCTCCAACAGAGACCAGGAAGAGGAGCCAGATGAGAAGAGAGAGGATAAAGTGAAGGTTTTCTCCAAACAGCCCTGGGCCCTGGTGACTGAAGCAATAGAAGATGCAGCTGAGGGCCAGAAGGCAAAGAGGGAAGCTGCAGGAGCCCAGGAGTCAGAGGAGGAGGCAGGGGAGCACTTTGAGGGCAAGACCGATGAGTATACAAAAGAGGCCTGCAGTGGGCCAAACTCGGAGATCAAGGCTGATGATGGTGCCAGTCCATGGGAGGTCCCAGCAGAAGAGCCTCAGGAGAAGAAAGAGACGTGCTGCGCTCTAGAGGCTGAGCTGGTCCCAGGCAAGGAGGTTGAAGGTGAAGCTGACTCAGAAGCAGCTCTGGAGGCCAGGCCTGAGGAGTTCATGTGGGAGAAAGACCAGGAGTATCAGACAAGCCAAGAAGCACTGGGGGTGGAATGGAGTATCCCCAAACACGGGGTCCCTGAAGACCAGGGGCTCAAGCTGGTGGAAGATGCCCAGACTCCAGAAGAGTCACCTAAAGAAGGGCAGGGGGGTCAGGAGGAGCACTGTCAGGATCAAGGCCTGAGCAGAGAGGAGGCAGGAACGGGGGTGAGGGAACAGCCCAGACACTTGGGACCTCCTGAAGTCCCTGAGACAGAAGGCTGGGAACTGTGGCGGGTAGGGGACCCAGAAAGCAAAATTACTCAGGAGGGAAAATCAGATGCTGAAGAGGGAGAAGAGGAGGCTGCAGGAGGCCAGGCCCTGGAGGCTGAGGCTGAAGGATCCTGGGGGTCTGAACCGCCAGAGGTCCTGGACTGTGGAATGGAGGAGGGAGAGACCTCTGTGGTGGACAACCAGGAGTTGCAGGCAAACAAAGGGACAGAGGCAGAGCCAGGCCAGGCACTGGGAGAGTCAGAGGCTGGAGAAACCACGGACAAGGTAGTGGAGATCACTGTGCCTTGGGAGGCGGACAGAATACCTAGGTGGGGCTGGAGGCTGGAGGGGGCAGCTTTGAGCCTCCAGGATAGTGAGGACACTCAGACCAGTTCTTTGGCTACTGAGGTGGTGGAGGACCAGGCAGTCCTGGCTGGGGAAGGGCTTCAAGGAGAGGCTGGAGGAGCTTGGAGCAGCGAGGAGCTTGGGAGAGGCTGGGACTCTGAAGAGAGAGAAGAGGCTGAGGGAGGTGCAGGGCAGATAGAGGCTGCACAGGCACTGTTGGAGGAAGAGACTGGGGAATGGCATATAGGAGAGCAGAGAGGAGACAGTGAGAGGCAGGATGAGGACCGCCATCCTGAGGGACAGGCAGAAAGGCCACCAGAAGTGGATGATGTCAAGGTGACTGGTGGCCAGAGGACAGAGGCTGAGGGGACTGCTCCAGAGGACCTGGAGGATGTCCAGGGCCAGGAGGGGCAGCCAACATACCAGCCACCCGTGGAGACCGCACCTGGGCCCTCTGAGACTGCAGAGGCCGTGGGAAGTGACACAGGGGACACTCACAGCAGCTGGAGTAAGGTGAGGGCTCTGGTGTGGACCAGGGAGGGACAGTAGGACCTGGAAGCCAGCACCACTAAGCTCCATGCCTCCTTCCCTGCAGGCCCTGCTTCCTGGGTCCCGCCTGGACGTCTCTGTTTCACGGAGCCGTGTGCTTCTGTCACGAAGCTCCTGGAAGCGTCGTTCACGGCCCTCTTCCTGGAGGAAAACTTCCCCTGAGCAGCAGCAGGAGGACCCTCCCAGTCCCCAGCCTGATGAGGGACTCTCCACCCCTGAACAGAGACCTCTTCAGCTAGAGGAAGCCCCTGAGCCAAGTCCCTTACAGTCTGGAGGGACCTCAGAGCCAGTCAAGAGAAAGCTCCTGGGACATGGGTAGGCATCAGGCACTGGACTTTGATAATGGAGGTGAGGGAGGAGGAAGAAGAAGAGGAAGAGGAACAGGAGGGGGAGAAGAGGAGAGGGAGGAGGAGAAAGAAGCTGCAGGTTCCCAGGGAGCACTCCCACAGGTCTGTCTTTATCCTGCAGGTTTGGCCCCATGCACCCTGGCATGATGCAGGAGTTGCAAGCCAGGCTGGTGCAGCGGAAGCCCCAGTGACTGAGAGCTGCTGTCCCTCTGGGAGCCTGGCCTGCATGAGGATCAGAAGCCTCCAGGAGCCCTGCCCACCCTGGTTCTCTCTGCCACTTGCACTCTTTCCACTGTCTGAGCCTCACTGCTTGGTGTCTCATTCACGGAGTGGACAAGAGCAAAAGGTCTGTGAAGACCTTGGACTTCAGGAATCTGATTCTCTAGCGCAGCCTGGTGGACGCTATGCCACTGAGACCTCTCCTCAAGGGTTCCTTTCCCTGGTCACCTCAACCTGTCCCAGCTGCTCAGAAGACGATTGTGGGAATGAAGTCTGTTCTCCATAGTCCACTCTCCGTGCCTGAACTCCCCAGAGAGCTGCATGGGGTGACATAGCTGGGGGGGGGGGGGCTAACACATTCTTCCCTTCAGCACAAAGGAAACAGATTGACAGGCTTAGAGGCACCAGATGGAATCAGAAATCAACAGGTAGCAGGCCAGCTGCCTTGACTTTCCAAAAAGAGAGCTCAGCCCCAGAACTCTGCTGGTTACTATGGCAACTAAGCAGGCCAGTCAGGGAAAGTGGACCAGAAGCATCAAATACGTCAGAGCAGTGAAGGGTTCTGAGTGGCCAGAGGCTACCAACTCCCTTGTAGCTATCTTGTCCCTTGGATGTCAGGCACCTCTTCTATGACAAGATGCTAAAGCAGAGAAAGGATGAGAAGGCTTTATTAGGCACCCAGCGCAGTGGTGCAGCCTGAGGATAAGATAATAAATAAATCGTATCCTAAACAATAAATAAATATTCAAGAAATAAATATCTGACATGGGCTGGAGGGACTTTAAATTATTGGGTAGGGGATGGGGCTGGGGCTGGTCTGAGGCAAATGGGGCTGGAGGTTGTGCTCTTGGCCAGGACTCCAGGCCCGAAGTCCTAAAGAATAAGGAAAGGGGATTAGACGGTCACTCCATCAGGACTGGGGGCCAAGCGTGGGTGCCCAGCCTTGGACAGCAGTAGTAAGTCCCGCACGGCCCGGGATAAGACCAGCTCCAGGGAGTGCAACAGCTGATAGGTGTAGAGCAGCTGGGGCCAAGACACCTGTGCCCCTCGAAGCAGCCCTGTCCCCTCCTCCTCCTCCTCCTCTTCCTCTTCCTTTTTCTCCTCAGGGAGGTTGAGTCCTGCAGCCAGCCCCTGTGGGGAGAGACTGAGGTCAGGCTGTGGCCAGGCGGCAGTGGGAGCAACTTTTTATTGCTTTCCTGTGGCCAGCCCTCTAAATGACATCAGTGACTACAAGACCATTTCCCTGGGCAGCCCCTACTGCCGATCTCCCATGGCGTTACCATATCTCATATCTCACCTGATTTTTGGCTCAAGTAAGACAATGTTCATGAAGCTGGGCTACTCCCCCAGGACTACCCTGAGGATTGGGGTCTAGGAAGTTCCTCTCTGCTTTTTAAGGATGATCTCAGAACCAAAAATGGGCAGGGAATGACGTAGCTACTTTCCACGTTGCTTGCATTTTCTATTCTCCTTTTTAATAAAATTTGTATTGCCCTTTGAAATGTTCAGAAAATCTGGGTGACATCAGAATAAGGGAGAGAAGGGAGCCCATCTTAACTGTAGACCCTGCTGTCCTGGGTACTTCAGGAAGATGAGCTCCTAGATTTAGGCAGAGACTTGGGGGTAGAACCAGGGCGCGCGCGCGCACACACACACACACACTCGACCTGAAAGCAGGGCTCTTGAAAGAGGGCCAGTGAGCCACAATGTTGTGTTTCCACTTCTGAGGGTCGATGCAGGTTGCGCTCACCTGGAAGTGGAGCTGCCGCTGCAGGTCCCGGAGATCGAGCCCCACTGCCCGCAGCTGCATCCTCTCCGAGTTAGTCCAGCCCCTTTGGCTCCCCAGCCTTCTCAGCAGGGCGTGAAAGGGCTGAAGAGTCACAGTGAGGAAACAGAGTCTCTCTGGATCCTGTTGAAGGGGAAGGGAAGAATTAGGAAAGACCCCTAGGCCAAGGATGGCCCCCCACCAAACCCAGCCCCAGCTCCGTGCAGGTCTCATTGCTGCTCCAGCCTGAGCTCCTCTGTGTCTTCATAGCTACTTCCAAACCCAACTCCACTGCTGTCTTCTGTGCTCATCGCTCTTCCCGCCTTCCTTGTCCTCCGTCCCAACTCCTCTTCTGCGCCACACCAGACTCCTCTCTAGCCTCCACCCCATCCCTTCGCTCTGCACCATGCCCTCCTCTACCACCCAGCCTGGTTTCCACGCACGTCTTCATCTCTCTCCAACCTTTTCCTCACCACATTCCCATTCTTTTCTTCTTTTTCCCTTTCTTTTTTCTTTTTTCCTTCTTCCTTTTTTTCCACTCTCCCTCTCTCTTTCTTTTGGTACTGGGTATTGAATCAGAGCCTTCACACTGAGCTACATCCTGACTCTTTTTTGTATTCTGAATCAGGGTCTCACTTAGTCACTAAGATTCCCAGGCCATACTCAAGCTTTCTGTTCTCCTGCCTTGGCCTCCCCAGTGTTGGGATCACAGATGGGTGCCACTGTGCCCTGCCTTGTTAACCTCATTCTTAACCTCATTTCGTCTCTGTATAAACAAACTCATCCTCACACGGTTCCGTCCCACCTATGCCCCATCCCTTCCCTCTTCTGTTCGTTCCCCTCATGCCCAACCTTTTCAACCCTAATCCATCCCCATTCCCACCTTCACTCTATCTCTAGTCCTCACATGCACATCTCTCTCCCCACTCCCATTCTTTCCTATTCCCATCTCTTTCTAAGCCAAATTTTTCCTACCTTCTTCCTAATCCCATATCAGAATTCCAGCTGCTTCTTTATATCACAGCTCCTACTCAGCCTCATTCTGATACCATCCCCAAATGTATCTTCCATTCAATCGCCAACTCCCACCCAAGTCCCAGCCAGATTGCCAGCCCCAGTCTGCCTGGGCCCCAGTCCCTCACTCACAGAGAGGTGGTACCAGGCCTGGAAGGTCAGTGACACATTGGGGAGCTGCTTTTGTGGGGGCAGGAGGTCCAGGTGCTCTCCCAGGAGGTGTGATTCAGCCTGAGGGAGGAAAGGTATGTTAGCAGGGTGGGGTGGGGGAGGAAGCAGGGACAGTGCCTCCCCATGCTAGAGCCAGCAATGATGGGAGACTCACAAAGTGGTGGGCCTGGCCTTGAACCTCTGCGAGCAGTTTCCTGGCAAGATGCAGGCTGACAGCAAACTCCGCGCGCAGCTCCTGCACACTCAGGGTGGGCCTCCCTGGTGGCCTTGGGAATCCCCAGACACTGGTTTGTACCAGGAGCAAGGAGCGTAGCAGTAGGCTGAGCCCTGCAAGGACAGAGGGGGGAAGAAGCAGAGGGCTTGCAGTCTGATGCGGTGGCACATGCCTGTGACACCAGCATTTGAATGGCTAAGGAAGGAGGATTGCTGTGAATTTGAGACCAGCCTATATAGATAGTGAGTTGAAGGCTAACCTGGAATAGTAAGATTCTGTCTCAAAAAAACCAAAAGAACACCAATGAAACAAAGAAAAAAAAAGTGGGGAGAGAGCTTTGAGAATTCTGGAGAGGATCAGGTGTGTTGGCACACATCTGTAATCTTAGCACTTGGAAGATTGAGGCAGGAGATATGAGTTGGAGGCCAGCCTAGGCTACATACTGAGTTCAAGACCAGATGAACTGTATAACAAGACTGCCTCAAAAAAAAAAAAAAAGTCCCACAGAATTCTGGAGTGGAAAGTTGGCATGCTTTTCCCAACCCTGGGCCATGCACAAGCTATGTGCAGTCTCTTTCATGGGTATCTTCAAAACACCCATTTAGAACCACAATGGGGACCATCTTTGGTCATTCACAAGCAGGTCCCAGGCTGGCTCTGGACTCCCACTAACTAAGTGCCTTTGCAGTGAACAATATGAGCAGCAATGGCACACGTCTGCCTGTGTGTTTGTTCTTATTCTCTCCATTCTGCAGAGAAGGAAAGTGAGGCCTGACTGAAAGTCAGATAGCCAGACCTGTCTAATGACAGAGGCCCTGTGCTCCCCCGGGAAACTCAGGGGTGGCGGCCACTTATCTGGAAGATGGGACACTCTGTACCGCCAAGCATTCCTTGGGCTCAGTCAGAGGGCTCTGATGCTTTCAATTGGCCTCATGGGGGATGGGCCTGGCCTCCCCTAAGGCAGGCAGTCACACTGCACTGGGGCCCTCTGGGACAAATCCCACAGTGTAGCAGTAGGAGGGCCAGGCCATCTGGAGGGGAGGAGGACCTGGCTGCCAGGCAGAAGCTATGCTTCTTATCTTGATCTTCCCTAAGCAAGTGCCTCTTATCTCTATGCCTCAGGCCCTACCTATAAAATGGGAGAGTTAAGACTACCTATGTTATTTTATTTTACTTTTGTTTGTTTGCTTGTTTTGTAAGACAGGTCTCACTACAGAGTGAGACCCCAAGCTGGTCTATGTAGCCTAGGCTGGCCTCAAATTCACAATGATCTTCCTTCCTCAACCTCCTAAGAGCTGGGATTACAGGACCTAACTTTTTTTTTTTCTTCTTTTTTTTTGTACTGGGAATCAAAACTCAAGACCTTGCACTGCCAGGTAGATGCTGTGCCTCTGAGCTACATCCCTGGCCCTGAGACTGCCTAACTTCCGAGGGTGCTTCAAGCCCTCTGTTTTCCTGGAAGAAGGAAAGAGGGGCTATGAGGCGGCAGCTCTGGGAAGTAGGCAGTGTTCAATGGTTTCTTCAGGCGGAGGAAATCTAGCAGTTATTGCAGTTACATAATTCTCCTCGAAACCCAAACCAAAACTGACCCCTCATGCCGGTCCCTACTCCTGCTCCCCTCCAGGGCTTTCCCTGGGTATCTCTTGACACCTGAGCTCTGCTCCTCAACGTGGTCCTCAGCAGAGGTGAAGGGGAGTTGCTGGGCACGGATTTCCAGAGTGCATGGGCAATGCCCAAGATCTCTTAGGTTCTGGTTGCTTAGCTTAGAAGCTACTGTGACTCTCTAGCACCCCAAAGACAAGGCAGATCAGGAATCTTTTTAGCTTTTATGTTGAGGCAAAGTGGGCACCCCAGGCTCTGGTGAATGATGTCTACGCAGACTGAGCTGTGCTGCCGTCCACCTGTCCCCCTTCCTGCCTGAGCTCTGGATGCCCAGCTCTTCCCTACCTCCTGTAGCTGATCCTGGGTTCGTGGCCTGGTGTTTGAAGATTCCATTCTCACCCTTCAGCTTTTGTCCCTACCTACCCCTGTCATGGGCTCCTTTGCTACCTACCAGCACTGGGTCTAGTCCTGAGTTCTTCAACCATCAGCTGCAATTTGGACTCTTTCCAAATTTCAAACCAAAGACCCTTGACTCAATTAAGGACTGGCTTCTTGGTCTCAGACTCAACTTGTGCCGAGTCCTGCTTTAGCTGATTTCAATCTCAGCCTCACCCATGCTGTCCAGTCCCCGATCAGTCACTCTGAACCCTTCACTTAGTCCTGGGTTAGCTCGTATCACCTGTCCAGCCCTCCCCATTCACACCATCTCCTGCACAGCCCTAGACCAACCCTGCTCCACTGCCCCAAGTCTCAGCCCCTCACTCTACTCTCATTTCCCCCCTCCAGCCAGCCATAAGCCCTCTATCGTGGCCAAGCTGCTGCCCCCAGCCACACTGTGAAGCTTTCCCATCCCGTGCCCAGTCCCCACCAAGCCTCCCAGCTTCCGCCCCAGCCCTGGTCTCTGACTCACGCCAACCAAGGTCGCCTGTTGTCTGGCCCATGTCAGGGCCCAGCCTCCTTGTCCAGCCATCTCCTGGGTAGGGGGAGTCTTATACTGGGGGCTGCACCCGGTTTCACTTTCCTTCCTGGTTGTACTTTCAGCTTTGTATTTAATCAGTCTTCCCTCTTGCTAAAATGGGGAAATGTAATTTCCCTTCCCGGGGAGGGGGGGAGGCACGATGAGGGGGTGTGTGTGTCGGGAGACTGGGGTTTCAGTCAATCTGAGCTCCTGACTCGCTGCTAAACTCCCAGCTCCCGCCCTCTCTTAACTCTTCAGTCTTGGGGAAGTCATCCAGCTCTATCTCTAGAGGGTCCCAGATGCTCGGACCCCTCCTGCTTTTATGCTCAATCAGCATCATTCATCCAAGAGCTTTTCCAGTCCACTGTCCTTTGAAAGATGAATGACCAGGTAAGGGGATTGCCCACCAGGGAGGACTTGGGGTTTTGAGTCATCGGTACTCTCTTCTGGTTTACCAGATGCCTGGCAGGGGATGTAGTGAGAAGAAAATCAGAGCTCAATAGTGACGAGGATGAGTCTTTGAGTGGGACAGACATGGTCACTGTATGAAGGTATCACTGCTCGCAGTGGAGGATCCAGGGTGGATCTTCTCCATCCAGGGCTAAGGGTTGAGACTTTGGCCACAGTATTACAGGATTAGAGTTCAGTCTATATCCAGCACTAGATCTAGAGCTAGACTCAGAGCCTAATCTGAAGCCAATAACCCTATTCTGTCTATTTGGGGTCAGAGCTGTCTGTGACCTGGGCTTCTGTTTACGCCAGGGCTGGGCTTAGAGCTTTGTTAGTCCATCTATCACCAAGGTTCAGATTGAGGCTGTGATCTCGTGACTCAGGCTTGTGTTGGGACAAGAGCTCAGTCACTTGTCAGGATCAAGGCTATTCCATCTGTGGCCAAGCTGGAGCTCTGTGAGTTTAGAATTTGATCTCAGCCGGGACCCACGGCAACCGCCATGCTTCTGCTCCACAGACTGCAGATTCTGTCGTCACAGCTGGGCACACATGTGGTCCCTTCCAGCTCAGCCCCGCCTTCAGCCACACCCTGGATTTCCCATCTTCAGGGAGAGGATGGGAGTTTCTCGGTCTTCCCCAAGGCTTACTGCTGCCACTTTCCTTTTGGGACCTGTGGGGTTTCCCTGATGGGTCCCTGCTATGAGACAGAAACCAGGGGGGCTTTCCCTTCCTGTACTCTGCTCCTCAGCACTGCCTGGGTACTACCGGCAGGGCTGCCGGGATGGAGTGCCCGGGAAGTATCAGCTGCTGCCTGGAGCCAGTCAGAGGGCTGTGCAGGAGGAAGGGGAGCCAGCTTTCCTTTGCAAGCACCCCGTGTTTGGCAGCTCACTTCTCCACTTCCCTTGCAGGTGGAGTTCCCTACTATTAAAGGCACGGCCACCCTACTCACTCCTTGACCACATGGTCCACCCTTCAGCTCTCTCCACTGCCGCTCCCTCTGCCATCACCCCAAAATGATGTACCTCTCCACTCTCGCTGTCTCTGACCGCAGCCCACTGGTTCTCTCAGCCTTCCTTCTCCCCCAAACCCTCATCCCTGTTGCTCTCTCTGCCCTTTAAGGGCTCCAGCTGATCCTCTCACCTTCTTCCATTCCGCTCCAGCAATTGCACTCGAAAGTGCACATTGCGGGGCGGGGCTGCCTAGGCTTCCTTGCATTTGGATAAGCTGCCAGAAAGCACCCCACCTGCCTTCTGGGGGTGTTCCTTACCTTCCCTGTACCCATAACCTTGTCATTGGCTTCACTTTTGAATAGTTTGTCCCTTCCTGCCACAAACTTTGTCTCAAACAGAGTTTTCACATTTTTATATCTTGCTTGCTCCAGGCTCACTCACACTGATCCTAGCACTCTGGCCTCTCTTTGCTCCTATTCAAGCCCATTTGTGCCTCAGAGCCTTTGCATTTGCTTCTTTCCTTTTCTTACTTTTTTCTGTTTCTTTTTTTCTTTCTTTCTTCTTCTTCTTTTTTTTTTTTTTGTCCTTTTCATTTTTTATCGGTACCAGGGATCGAACTCACGACTGCCTGCTTGCAAGGCAGGTGCTTGTGCCGCTGAGCTAAATCTCCAGCCCCGCTTCCTTCTTTCTAGAACACTCTTTCAGAGTTTGAAAATTTCACTCTAAGATCTCTGCTCCAATGTCACCTTCATGGACCACCCAATGAAGAAACATAACCCTGCCATGGTTCTTTCTATCCCTTTCCCGCATTATTTTTCTACTGAGAATATCTAAACTATTTTTGTCTGTCTCCATGCATTAGAACACAGGCCCCATGATGGGGAGAATTTTTGCCTGATGTGTCTTAAGAAGCCAACAATAAGAGACTTAATAAGTTGTTGTGAACAAAGGAGTCTTCTGCCACAGGTGCATGACCCAGGTTCTGCTGGTCGAGACGGGTGATGTGTAAGTTGGGACCAGCTGCATGCCCAGGAGTGGAAAGGGGGCCCCTGCACTGCTGGGCTTGGCCTTGCGATGCTAACTAGAGGGCCCCAAGAGCAGTGCCAGGCTCTCACCAAATGCTTGCAGGATAGTCTCAGACCAGGCTCTGAACCTCAGTTTCCACATTTGGGTCTCAGTAGGTGGGCTGTGGTTTGGGTAGGAACCAGTGGGAAATGGAAACTATGTGGTGAGGGATGAGAACGAGTAGAAAGGAAACCAAGAACCCTGGGCTGTAGCCTCCAGGGCATAGCCAGCCTTTCTGGGGACCTCAAGTGAGTCACTGGCTGCTCTAGACTTTGGTTTTCTCAGTGAAACATGACAGTGATTTTCAAGGGCTGCTGCAAGCGGAGAAATTAAAGCCAGGACATTTAAAGTTTTTTAAAACGTATAGGTACCTTCTCTGTTTCTTTTCTTTTGTCTTTTTCCTTTTATGGTATTGAGAATTGGATTCAGGACCTTTGCATTGAGCTATATTCCCAGCCTTTTTTAATTTTTTATTTTGAGACAGGATCTTGCTAAATTGTCCAGGGTAACTTTAAACTTGTGATCCTCCTGCCTCTGCCTCCCAAAGTGCTGGCATGCTGGCAGGTATCACCATGCCCAGCTAAATTTCTGGTTCTTTTTGGAGCCCACTGGGGCACTCCGGGGGCTTGGTGGGAAAGCTTACCTTGAGGGAAGCAGGTGGTTGCTTCAGATGTGCCTTCAAGATGCCTCCAGGGTGGGGAGGTCTTTCTCGGATCACACAGCAGATTCAAAGCAGCCTGAAGACAGTTTCCAGCTGGGACTGAAGGGGAATTCCTGTCAGCACCCTACTCGGAACAAAGCCCTTGGTGAAGTCAAGATGGCCTTTGGTGAAAGCAGGAAACGGGGAAGGCAGGAAGGCTGGAGCTGCACCTCAGCTGCACAGATGGTGAGACACTGAGGCTGAGAGCCCCTTCGCCAGGCCAGGGGAGGTGGGCAAGGTCTTCAGTCCCTCCCTGGATGCCCATGCACCTTACACCACCACCCACGCTAAGTAGGCCTAGTGTCTGACAGTTTGCACACTTCTTGACTCTCTCTCCTCTCCTCCTCCCTCTGTCCCTGCTACCCTTTCTTCCCCCTGTACCCCTTCACTCCTTCGATGCCGGGAGTAGGACCCAGGGCCTTGAGCATGGCACAAGTGCTGCACACTTGAGGCCCAGCCTGGCCCAGCCAGATGCCTTCTGCAGCCTGTGCAGACAGTGTTGGCAAGGGGCCTGAGCATCCAGCCTCCTCCTGTTCACTTCGGGGGCTGTCATGGGATGAGTGACTTTGAGGGAAAGGGAAAAAGGCTTCCTTTCACCCCTATCTTTATGTGTGCCCTGCACTTTCCCAGCTCTGGAAGGTGCCTAAGGAGGACTAAGAGCAGTGGGGTGCTCCTCCTATGGCCCAGATGTTTGTCACAGGATGTTCTCTCTGGAAATGCATGGGAATGCAGGGCTGGGGGCACTGGGCTATGAGGGGAATGTGGAGAAGGTGGGGAGCCAGGCCTGTTGAGAAGGAAAGGAACCTCAGGAGACAGGGTTTACAGAGGAAAAACACCAGCCCAGTGATGAAAAGTCCCAGTTCATGTCCCAGTACCATGCTGCCCTTTCCTGTTTGTGCCCCTTTGGACAAGACAGCGGGCAAACGCTACGCTCCAGCTTCCTCATCTGAAAAGTGAGGTCTGCATTCCCAGTCCTGCCTACTTCCCAGCCTGGACAGAAAGACAAGCTTGGGAGGAGTCACAGCCAGGGTCCTGGCTTGGAAGTCAGACAGACCTTTGTTCCTCCTTTCAGAGCTTCAGCGTTTCCCAGTGTGACCTTGGTCAAGGGCATGATCTCTTTGAACTTGGCTCATCTATCAGGTGAGGGGCCACTTGTACCATTTGGATAGGATTCTTGTTACAATATAAAACAGCACTGCTGTTATATAGCTGTGTGATCTTAGGCAAGTTATTTTTCCTTTCTCAGTTTCATCTCTATATCTCTGTATCTCAGTTTCATCATCTATAAGTGAGGAAAAGAAAACAAACTTAACTGGGCGTGGTGGTTCATGCCTGTTGTCCCAGCACTTGCAAGGCTGAAATCCTGTGACTTCAAGGCCACTGTGGACTACATAGTGAATTTGGGGCTAGCCCAGGGCTACATAGAAGACAAATAAACAAATAAAATAGTGATGCATGCCTGTAATTCCAGCACTCAGGAGGCTGAGGCAAGAGGATTGTTGAGTTCTGGGCTACATAATGAGTTCAAGATCCTGGACAAGTCTGTCTAGGAAAAAAAACAAAAATGAGTTCAAGGGCAGCCTGAACTACATAGTGAAACCCTGACTCAAAAAGACAGACAGACAGACAGAGAAGAGAGAGAGAGAGAGAGAGAGAGAGAGAGAGAGAGAGAGAGAGAGAGAGAGGAAAACCACTCATATACTGCTTGGAGGATTCAATGAGCTACTGAGTGTGAAGCACTGCTTAGAAAAGGGCCTGCTGCGGTAAGATTGCGTTCAGCTATTAAGAGTAGTAGTATAAGCTATGACACACAGAAAGTTCTCAGACAATGTTAGTGTTCATTAACAGGGCTGCGGGACGACTGAGGGAGAAGACACAGAAGAGGTTGCAGTCAGCGCTTACAAAGGGGAACAAGTGTAGGTCAAGGAATG